AGATGCCGTACGAATTAAACCATACTGCATTGACCAAAATTCCCAGTCTTTTGGATTGTAGCTTTTGTATGATTCGAATATTAGACCCCACATCTCAGGCTCATATTCCCTGCTTGGTGTGGTATGTATTTTATAGATTTTAATTTGTTGGCCTTTTGGTACTCCAAAATTTTTTCATTTCAGGTTTGTCTCATTTCAAATAAAAGTTTAATGAGTACTATTAATTACTTAATAGTATGTCTGCTAGCTTATATTAGCGTTTTCGACTGGTAAATCTGGATTCAATCTAGATAGTCTTACATTTTTGCAATAGTATTAGTAGACATTTACATCTTTCATAAACACATATATTGGATCGATTACAGTTCTTTTGCCAGTCATATAAAAAAACTATTAGTTTCAGGGTAATTTTCCTACTCTGGCAAATTAATCTCGAGTGTTATAAATTAATCTCGAGTGTTATACATTTCTCTCGAGATTAACTAATCGAAAATGAAAATTACACTAAAAGTGAATCTCGATTACAAAAGTTGCCCCAGATTTATCAATCGAAAATGGCATGAGTGCGTTATGCTATACGCTATCAAAGGCTTTATACTTATATAGATAGACCACAATAATAAACAGTTTTGCCTCTATGTCCATAAAGATTTTATATGCTATATTGTGTATTATAAAATGTTGCTTTCTGAAGCTGAGCTTTTAGGAAAGTATGAGATTGCATTGTTAAAAGATTGAATCCTTTAAAGATTTTTTTAAAGATCAGGAAAAAGTGAAAGGAATGTAGTGATGTTACCTAAAATGTGAGGCAGAATATAAAGAAATTTATTCATTCTAGAATGTAAATATTTTTAAAGATACAATTAAAAATAATACCGTCAGAAAAATTTAAAATTTTTTAATAAAATTTATGATAAATCTAAATAAAAAAAAATGAAAATTTCTGATGTATATTTAAATTTTTTTTTTTTTAAATTAATGATTAAAGTTATTAATTAAATATAAAAAAAATCCTGCAATTATTTAAACTATGAACTTAAAAAAAATTTTAGCCATTTCAAAATTGATTTCATATGTAAATACTCAAAGCCTTATAGGTCTGGAACTTATGGTATTAAAAACTTAAAATTTTTTTCTTTTAATACACTTACTAACTATTATAGAAATAAGCTAATGCATTTGTAAAGCAACTACACATATTGTCTAGAACTCCTATTTTTTTTAGAGAATCTGCTATAAGTACACCCATTCTAGTATGTGCAGTACACGCCATATATTTCACTACAATTTTCACAAATTATTCTCTAAATTGGTACATCCTAAAACCCCTTAAACCAAATGCTTTGCGGTACTTGTATGTATTTTTGGTTGACTTAGATACGCAGTAACTAAGCAATTAAAATACAGGAAATTATTAATTTAAATATGTACATAATTGGCTTCCATCGTAAGTGGCTCACAATGTATAATAGTAATTTCCGTGAGCAATATTTTGGTTACAATAATGTTGCTCTCTTCACTCGTGTTTTTTAGGAATTACTTTTTAAAATTTAACATCAAAAGTAAAAACCAATTTAGGATTAAAAATAAAGTAACACAATCAAATTAGATTATATTAATTTTAATATAATTTATTAAGTCTCATAAATTTCATTTAAAGCAAGAATACATACGAGTACCTTTCTTTTGAATATCAATGATTTAGTAAATATTTATGTATAGACCTAAAACATAAAGTTAATAGAAATAATTTTTAATAATGAAATGTTGTCTACATAAAAATATACGTCAATATATATATACAGCGTCTACAATTATTGGGACTCAGTTGGACTAAAGGAATTATCGTAAACAAATATGATTATTGTTTATATAGATTTTGACTGCATGCTTGACTTCAAATCCCAAACACCTTTAAAACCATTTAAGGAGATTAAAATAGTAGGTTGTATCGAATACGGACTTACAACCAAAACTAGGATATTGCATTCTCACTTATCTTTTGTAATAGTTTAATAAAATTTGGGCTTAACCTTAAGGCCGTAGTTATATATTAGCGTTAACAATATTTTTTTAATTGCAAATGAAATTTAAAGTGTAGGAATGTAGCACTATTATAGCTAGTTAATTCGTTTTTTTTTTAAATTAACAAATATTTCACTATAATACCAATTATTTTGCTACAGTATAGATGTATTCTAATCTAGAAGGTTATTGATATAAAAATATCATTGGCAGGATTGTCCAGCCTTATAGCATCCAACTCGTCTCATAAACTTTGAAATTATTGCTTCTGTTGAAATTAATGACTTATAATAATAGTTCATTATTTTCCTTAAGTGTATCGCCAAATAAAATAATTAATATAATATTTTATTTAAATATTTAATTTTTATTAACACTAAAAAATATCGTTTTTTAGTAATATTATAGTTACTAAAATTTTTATCCTTATGTCTCAGTTTAAAAACGAGTTATAATAAAATAAAAAATGTAAAAAAATTACAGAAATATAAAAAATGACACTGTGTGGCTCTATTAAATCAAAAGATAATGTATACATAAAATTAACACTATTATCCAATCTATAATTAAACTATCAGTAAAATTAACAAAGTACTTACCTGCAATTAGAATGTCATTCTGAATATATCTGATATTAATTTATTGTGATATGCATGATATAGACCTTTAATCTGGCTTTTAAATATTACTAGATATATTTATTTTATTTATCTTTCTATAATTTTATAATTTCCTTTTTTCTTTTATGTATAAAAATTCATTACGATTTATAATTAAATTATTGATTGATTCGTAAAAATTATTAATTAAATTCAACCTCATTTTTCACAGCATATCTAATCCCTTTATTTTTTTATTGAAATAAAATAATAAAATACATTTCCTTAAATATGGGAATAGAAGAATTAAACTGGAATAAAAAAAACTACTAGAAATTATCTTATATAAATATAATATAATATAATATAAAATGTCTATTTTACTATCTACCTTGTAGATAACTATTGATTACAGACACTAAAATATTGGTGACTATAAAAAACATTTTTAAATATAATTTTTATGGTTGATTATTATTTAAACAATTGACCAATTAACCCGTTAAAAAATATATAATAAAATTTGGTCAATAAAATAAATAATTATTTTTATTAAACAAACTTTCGAAATTCGATATTGGTCAAATTAGTTATTGTCGTGTGAGAACGTGATCTTGGCCAGCACTAAAAACCTATCATGTCGATGCGTGGTATTTAACTATCTAACTATATTATCACATTTTTAAAAAAATTTGTAAGATAAGTAATTGAAATAATATCACACACTTTTTACGTGCAGAAGCAATAGGTCTATTGGCTAGCTTATGGCTAATCAGGTTAATCGTACAAGAAAACATGATGAAGTGGACTTGAGCCAAATATTGAGTGGCTACGGATATTTATTAGAATATCTTAAACAATTTAGCTGGCAGATAGTTTAGCTTACATAGTCCTATGAACGCTTCAAAGAGAAACGAGAACTATTCGTTAAGTTATTTTCGTAACTTAAATCATTCAAAGCCTTAGACATTTCGCAGAGGAACTCAAAACTCAAAACAGCTCGGATAAGCAGGAAGAGCGAATATTTTTCCCAATAAGAATAGATGCAGTAACAGAACTGCAATATAGCAAATCGAGGTCTGGTAAACCATCGAACATTTTGGTGATTTTAGAGGATTGAAATCTTACATTGACTTAGATTTTAGATTGATTTACACCTCATTAAAAAACCAGGGATTAGTTTTACTTAATCTTTACTATAATCATTCTGAAATCAAGTAGGGGCACAATAGATCTTAAGATAGTGATAACAATATCGACACTTTGATAATAGGTAATAATAATGATTATTTAAGAAATAATCTGAATAGATTTTTTTTTTAATTACAATTTAAATGTAGATTTTTATTATCGCATCAATATGCAGTAATAGTATTGATAAATTAGTCGTATTAATTGTAATTTTTCGTACAAAATTCGCACAAAATTCGTAACAAATTAGAAAAACTTCGTAAAACAAACTCGTATAAAATCTACAAAAAGATCGATCAAAATTCGTACAAATCATCATAAAATTTGTACAAAATTTTGTATTAGATCTACGTAAATATCGCCTAAAATATACATATAGTTTATAAAAAAAATCACAGTACTTCTTATGCAAATGTCACATAAAACTTTTTTTTTAATTTCATCAAATTCCACCCAAAATTCAAATAAAATCCATACAAAATTTGTCAAAATACGAAATATATGAAAAATCTATAAGAAGTTTGTATAAAATTTTCATAAACTTCGTACAAACTTTCCAAAAAATTCATATAAAGTCCACACAAAATTTGTGCAAAATTCATACAAAAACCACACAAAATTCACATAAAATTTTAATAAAATTCATACAAAATCCATACAAAATTCACACAAAATTTTAACAAAATTCTTACAAAATTTTAAAAGCCTTGCAAAAAATTTTCAAAATTTTAAGTTTGACATTATATTATTTAGTATATATCTCTCTATTATAATATATTAGGATTGATAATAGCATTCACTTATTTTTTTAATTTTTTTCTATACCTTATATTAATTTTAATATGTTATTTTTATTTAAATTTTTAGTTAAAAAAGTTTAATAATTAAAAAAAAAATTTCTAAATATTTTTTTATTTTAATTTACAATTTTTATATTAGTTGAACAAAATTTATATATATTATTTCGAGAAATGCCACTTTCATAGTGCACAGATTTTCTTAATCTTTTCAACTTTTATAGTATTTTCACTTGTGTTTCAACAGGTCCTTTGAATTTTCGAATCCTCCAACCAAATGTCAACAACTAATGGACTTAACCCAGTCCTCATTTTATATGGATTTATGGATTTTATGCACAATTTTCGGTTTAACACAAAGTAGGAATTTGAAAATGATTGCACTTACCCGCTAACAGCTGTGATAATTTCATGATTATCGCACATATTGACATCCGCAGAAGATGCCATATGTCAGACGTTCGATGCAGCAACAAATATCAACAGCAGGAATATTTAAATTAGGCAACACTGACTTGGTGTACACAATTAAGAAAACAATAAAAAAAAAAAAAATAAATAAATAATATTTATGTAATTTTAATTTTGAAACCAATTTTTAGTTGATTAAAAACTGAACATAAAAATAAATAAAACTTTAAATAGAAATCAAAATAATTTTGAATGCCAATTTTTAGAATAATTTTACAGCTTTGCTTTGCCTATTTAACCGCTCAACGACGTTCAGTCTGCACTCACCAGGATGAACTGAAACATAGCATCAGGTAGCATCACCACGAAAGCTACGAAAGCAGTCAAGTGTTCCAAAAAAAAATTCGCTTCTATTTCGTTTTCATTTCAAATTTGCTGCTCTTACCATAAAAAGTAGAAATTTCCAGGCTGCAGAGCTTGCAAAGGGGAAATAGCGCCAATATTGTGCATTTTATAGACAAGCGCACTCATTCATACTTGTTCATACAATCTGCACATATTTGAACTTATAAAGTTTGTTTAGGTGTAACGGTATGGTTCGGTATGGTGTGGTATGGTGCGGTGTTGTATGAAATATAAAGTTTAAATTCAACAGGAGTCAAATCTTCTTCACTGTGTGTGTGTGTGTGTGTGTGTGTGTTGAATGTAGTACAGCTGCGTATATCAACACAAATGACAACTGTTGTTAATATGTAAAAGTGCATTAGGCACTGTAAGCTTTTTGCTGCTAACGCAACAAATAAAGCACATAACAGTTCGAAGCTTTGAACCTCTTTCGCCTACGCACATTACAATATCACATACATACATACACAGTGCACATGTTTGGTTTGTATATCTACACAGGCACATACAAGTATATATATATATAAACTATGTATATTTATTTTTTTTTCCTCCTGTTAATGTCTTCTTCGCTGTACTTTGTTATATCAATCAGTTTGCTTTTTCATTTCAAGTCAGTAGCTATCTCACTCAGAAATTATACAACTTCAAATACCGCTTTCTCTTTCATGCTAATAAAGCAATAAGCGGCTTTTTTTTTAACTTTGTACACTCCTCTTAGCTCCTTGGTTACCGTGCGCTTCAGAAATTATCATTTGGTGCCAATAGCTCCCACACACAAAATAATCCAACAAATATACACACACACACACACAAGCACTCATACACATTATTATTATTATTACAGCCACGTTAATACAACTTACAAATACCTTCGTTTATATTCTCTTTTTGTTGTTTCTTTTTTCTACAATATTAATAATACCGACGCGGTTGTTGTTGTTGTTATTCTGCCTTAAACTGATTTTTTTTGTATTGGTGTCATTACAGTTTTTTGGTAGCCGTTTGTGTTGCTAAAAATAGTCACTCTTCATATTTAGGCAGAGACACACATTACACGTTCGTTATTCCTTAACTTCGTCAATAATTTAAGTTAAATTCTAGGTGGTTTTAGTTTATGTGTTGTTGTTGTTATTATTGTTGCTACTACTCTTATGTGCAATATGTGTAACGTATGTTCACTATTATTTGTCTTTGTGTTATGACAAATAACACACAACGAAATACGCACATTTTTGTGCCCTGCATACACAGTGAGAAATTTTTATATAAAGTTTATGAAGAGTTTGTCACATACTTAAAATATACTACTTTTTTTAAATTGACTTTGATGATTCAAATGAGTAGTTTTTATATTTGGGTCTTTCCACAAAAAAATCTTAGAATTATTTTGATCCTATCATGATAGTTTTTATGATACTTATCATGACAGTTATCATGATACTTAAATCATTAATATAATGATACTTGTATTCTCGGCTTGAAAATAATTTTATTTTTTCTCACACTTTTAAGCAGTCAGTGTTGTAATTATAATTTTTTAATTTTTTCCTATAATATATACGTTATAGGTTAGCATTACTTCTAGAACTGATGAGTGAAGTGTACTTTGTAATCAAGCAAACTAACCAGCTTGGCTAAAAATGTTTTATATTAAAGCACATTGTCTAAGCTAGAAGAATAGTTAATAGACAAAATATATTAAATTTTAATATATTATATTCTAAAAGTCAAGTTTAGAATTTTAAACACAAAACGAATCTGCAGATTATTCAATAAACCTAATTAACCTAAATATAGTAGAGGTTATTAGTTTCTGTTTATAGTGTATTGGTTAATATAGTGTTGTCACAGGTCAATTGGTCAATTTTTTATTATTGTTAATAATAAAACTTAAAAAAGACTCAAATTTTTTTACAATAATTTTTATTAAATTTTTGACGTTTCGAATTTAGTCTAAAGTCATCAAGAGGAAACTTCTGGATTGGTTTGTGTATATAAAAAAAATTTATAATAACTGTTAAAATAAAACGTATCTTGTTATTTCAGTTGCTAAAATTAATGGAAACAACCAGCTTAAGTTCCGTTCCCGAAAAATACAATTTTTCATTGCAGTCTTCTCTTGAGATTCGATACTAAAGTAAAAATAGAAGGATTTGACACACTTGAAAAGTTCACCTAGTGCATTTTTGTCTTTTAACAAAATAAAAAAAAAATATTTTTAATTATTTTGATTTACGAAAAATTCTTAAATAACATCTTTTTATTGAAACACGAATGGAAAAGAGGAGTCATCACATTAAAAAGGGAATCTTCTTTGCACAAAATAATAAAATCTGATTCTTTTATCTTGTAAGCTCATCCAGTGACTTCTAAATTGAAACATATGCTATCAAGTAGTGTCTTGCTAATACATTTTACCTCTGAGGACACTGAATGAGCCCACAAGATTAAACTAAGACGATAAAGGATCTTATTATATTCTTTATTAAATTTTAAAATTTACGAAAAAAACCAAATTTAATTTCTTTCAATCCCAGCAAAGAGGACTAATCAGTGTAGAAGGTTAAATCAAGTAAAACAACTTATATCTTGACTGAGTTCAAAAAGTAACCACAACAAAAAATCACTGATCTAGATGAAAGCCCACTCAGAAGATGGAATCACCAATATATTAGCTAAACTAAATATAGCATAAATGAAAAGCTACCATGAGCTGTGAAATATTCAAACTAATATGCTCAAGCTATATACTATTTTCGAGTGTGAGATTGCTATTAGGTATAGCTAAGATTACAATTATAGAACTTGTAACGATTCTGATAAACCGTTTGGCAGTGGATAATCTTGACAAAAAATAAAGCATTCAAATGTTTTTTTAGAAACAATCCATTTCCTAGAAATGTGATTCACTTTTGTCAACGATAATGATGGGTTTTATAGCTAGGATTTTATATCCAAAAATGACAATTGTAAACTACTTGAGGAGAAGAGGAAACAGTGTCGACAATAAAAATTAGCAAGCAAGTTTAGTTTATAATGAGGATATTAACTGCGTTTAACTTAATTATTTTAGTACTTTACTTACTTTAAATGGTCTTTGTTTCTACCAAAGGCATTTTAACTGACTTGATCTAAAGTAATTCTATATATCTTCCCGCTAGGTCTTAAACTACAGTTTACTTATTTTTTACAAAAAACTGTAGCAGGGAAATATTTTGTTAGAATAAAATTTATTTAAGAACTAAATAAAAAAAATAAATTCCAAAAACTAGAAACCATATGTTCTTTCCTTATTTTTTTAAAAGATGATCTATTCAAGAATTAAATAAAAAGAAATGATTCTAAAAAAACAAAATCCATAACTTCACATATTGTTTTTTTAGAAGATTCCAGAACTAATTAAAAATTAACGGATTCTTAAAAGCAAGAACTATAACTTCTTTCCCAGTTTTCTAATAAGATAATCTATTCCAAAACTAATTACAAAAAATGGATTCTAAAAACCAAAATATAACTTCTCTTCATATGTTCTCAGAAGATAATCTATTCCAGAACTAATTAAAAAATAATGGATTTTAATAACCCAAATATAATTTTTCTTCCTATTTCTGTGACTCTTTATCAACTTCAATGTCTTAATTTGGTGCAAAAATTTATTGGATTCGTATGTACATTCGATTGTGCAGATGTGTGCATATGCTGGGGTTTGAGGATATGCCAGGATTAGGAGTGTTCGCCGATAAGTACATATAAATACGTTTTTCTTACTTATTTTTCGCTTTCGTCATCGTTAATTTTTTTTTTGTCAAATTTTTGTGTTTATGTATTCAACTCGTTAATTCTATGTGTATATAATAAAATTATTTATGCCTTTCTGTGTGCGTACATATATTATAGGTTCGTGTCATTGTATATATGTCAACAAGTAGCAATTAAAATGTTTTGTTATTTTTTCCTGAAATTTCCAACAAAATTCTGTTCTATTTTTACTTTTCTCATATGTCAAATAGCAATTTCTTAGACTTCATACTCCTTACAAAGCCGTAGATCCTTTTTCTCTTAGCGCCAAACCGCATAAAGGAAGGAATGAATGTCAGAGGTTGTTTTGATTAAAGTCGTTAATTATTTCATGAAAATGTAGTTTTTTAATTTGAACTATTGTTATTTTATTTTAAGCTTATCTAATAATTGTTGTATTATATCACGGCTATAATTAGTCCTTTTCAGTAATTTAAACACACTTTGTTAAGGGGGTGACCCTCACTTAAATATTTGACTAATTAACACCTTTTCTGTAAACAAAAATGCTGAGGAAACGGAAATTAAACACGTGTTGCGTATCAACGTGGACGATTTTATGAAGTATGCCAAAATTTTTAAGTGGATGGGAATGGATGTGGGAATGGTTGGCGGAAAAGAGATAAGAATAAGAATCAAGATGTAGAATATTGAGACATTTTTTTTGGCGAAGAAAAGTTTTGCCTCTTAATGCAAATTTTGCAAAAAGTCGAAGTTAAAAAAGTTTTCCTTAAAAGTCTTTTAGAAAAATTACTTAAGCTGTGTTTTATTTAATTTTGGTAAAATTTTCTTTTTAATTTTTACACCCAAGTTAATTACATTCAATTCAAAATTAATTGAGTTATTATAATTAAGTCAAATCAGTATACGATTAATAGAGTTATCCATATTACAATAG